ATATATAAGTATAATAGTCAAATTTAAAAAAAATATTAAGAATAATAATAAAGTGAATAACTATATATAATATAATCCCAGACATGTTAAAAATGTACCTAATACTAGAACATAAGGAAAAAAATTAATATAAAATAATTAATTGTATAAATACATAAATAAAGAATGCTAATTTATTAAATAAAGAACCAATCAGATAGAAAAAAGATAATCTTTCAGTGGTCGCTTGAAAGCATCGATGGATTTTGTATTTCTAATGAATACAACAGGTAATGAATTCCATAACTTAATGCTAGAAACAATGAAGGAATTGTGATAATGTATAAAAATAAAATGCAAATAATTATAATGTGTAAAAGCCATTGAAAGCGCAGAGAATCTTCCAGATCAGCTTATCGATTATAACCCTGTAACGGATGCACTGTCGACCGAAGTGCCTCCATCAGCAACCTCCGATGTGGAGCCGAGATAGTGCCCAGCGTTTGTAACCCGCAGATGATTTATCTCTATCCTCTTAATGCACCTTCCTTTGTAACTATCCAATCTTTTTAGTTGAAACGCCTCAAGAGTCGGTCTCTACTATCAAATACATCTTTTCCTTCTCAATAACATTTTAAATGTGCACGTGAGCTTGTTTACTGTATTCGTCATGCAGAATCTTCCAGTCAGTTAATCTTGTCAGAATTTTAAAGAAGTTTCGACAAGAAAATTAATAATACATGACTTTTTCTAATATAATTTTAATTACATTTCCTATTTTTTTATTTTTTATTTCAGCCGTTAACTGTCCATTAGCCTTCCCCATAAGGTGAGTTTTGCCAGTAGTTGCCACGCTTGGCAGGCAGGTTGGTAACCACAGTTAGGCTTTTACATATGTTTTAAGACAGGAACGCTGCTGTCCATCCCTCTACCATATGCTTCCTTAGTCGCCTCTTACGACACCCACGGGAAAGATAGGGATGGGTCATTCTTTGCCGGAACCTACACGACGAATTTTTCATATATACTTAAAGAAAATCTAAATATAATATGTACAATATTTAAATACTGTATCAAAATAAAAACAAATGTTTATTTTTTTTCCAATACCAATTATTTCGATTTCAAGAAAACATTACCTATATAACTTCCAATATTAAGGTATTTATATCTACGAAGGCATGTTATTATGTTTCAATAAAAAACAAACTGTATGCAAATTAATTTCTAAAGAAACAACCGCAATACTTTCTGTAACTCAAACATTCAACTGCGTATGACAAATCAAAGTTGTTTTCTTACAATTTTCTAACGTGCACCCATGAATACATTTGATATTATGGAATATATTATAATATTGAAAATAAACCAGGATCCAGCCTAATGTCACCGAAATCTATCAAAAGAATAAATTTTTTTCCAGATGCCCCTTTATCGGGTTACAGAGGAAAGGGTTTTCATATGAACCGGATATAATTTGCATTTCTAAATTGAATTTTCTTATAACTGCATATTTTTTCCTCTTCCGGAACTTGAAATGTCAAACAAGTAGATTGACAACTCAATTGTAAGTAGTAACTTGTATTTATAGATGTGTACAGTACCATTTGAATGATATCTGGTACATAGATAGAACATATCTTGAGTTAACACATAGGATTGCTTTTTATATTAATTAACAGATGCAAAATTGTGAGATATGGCTTTGCATAAGTAAAAATAACTAAAAGTAGAAGAAGAAGGAAAATATATTATGTACACATACTAAAATGTCCATTCCTCAATTCCAATAGATTTTATTCATTTATTTAGTAGATATATTAGACGACTTGCAAATAAATACTATAACAAAAAATTATGAAATCTAGACCCACCTACTGTAAAATTACTTGTGAAATGATGTTTTAACTTTCTTTAAATTGTTTATCTACACTTCGAAGCTCATACCTTAGAAATAAAGATCAGATTTATAAGAAAATTGGAAAATGTTAGAAGTTGTTGTCGTAAGCATATTGCCAACATGAGTCTACATAATATTTTAAAATTTGATTTCGAATCATAGTAAGCTATTTGATTATATAGTTAAATTGACACAATACTTATTAATCCATAAAATGTATACATCTTTTTTTTATCAAAAATTTCCTCTTATCAAGGCCACTAATTCATATATTCTCTTTCAGCAATCTATTTCCTTAGGCCACATTCTCATCCTTAATAATATTATAAATGTGAGTTTGTTGGTTTATTAATAAGCCTTTCAGGCAACTTTAAGTAATAAAGGCTCAACTAATCGTCATTCAATTTACTATACACGTAATACATAATACGTTGGAATGCAAAGTCACTATGGACTTTTTATCCCTATAAATCAATATATCCCGGCTATGTGAACTAAGTCGTAAGTGAAAACTAGTAAAAATGTTATTATCATTATTTCAACCGTACAATATCTAATGCTAAACATCGGTCCCCATAGATAGCCACAAAGAAAGTCCTGACCCACTTGTAACCACTGATTCCTTGCAACGCATTTGATGTCATCACTTTGTCAAATGGAAATTGTCCTACACAATATTTGACAGTACTGATGTAAAATATAGATTGAAATGAAAATTATGAGCTTCCTTTTATTGCACGAATGAAAGTGAACATTTCTTACATAGTGTAAATTTTTACGTAAGCTAATTCAACGTTCTGATATAATTATTTTGAGGTAATAACTTATTAAATATATACTATAAATACTAAGAAATATATCATATTCTTCTAAAGAGTCTTGTAAATTAGGTCGTATTAATATGGAAAACACAAACTACAAGACTATCTTAAAAGGGCATTAAAATTTTCATTTTCGTTCTCTGTATGTTGTATAAAATTATATTATTTTACAATTTCACGACATTATCTAAATGTACAAGATACTATAATTTTGTTGATTTTGTTCATTTATGTTTTCAGTCTGTCGAGACTGGAATAATATTGTACTTAACTTTATTCGACTATCAATTGAATATGATAACAGTGAATAAATAGTACATTAACAAATAATGTTTCTACATACAAATTTCTAATAACATATGTTGTTCAAATGATGCGTTTTAATTTGGTACATTTTTAACATAATTAAAATTGAGTTGTTATTTTTCAATACTTATTATAGACCTCTATATAATAATACTTATTATATATTTATAAATAAATAAATAATAAATGTATTGCCATTCTTTACAAACATGCAGGAATTATAATGTACATATATTTATTAATAAATACATTGTGCAGTATTCATATGCCTGGCAATAGGTACAAACTCAGCTTTTGCTGGACTGATGTGCGTTCAGCGCTGATTTTCAGTTTGCACCTACACGCTACATTTAATATTTATTATTTCTTAAGAGAAACAACAATACTGTCTCCTCCTATTACTGTACGCACACTGCCTGTTGGTAATTAATGCTCCTTTCCACTCAGAGTTTGCTGGAAGAGAACTCTTACAGAGTTAAGCTCGCCTGTTGTGCATCTTTATTTAATATATATTATATGATTGTAATTTTTTGTGTATAATAAAGAATAAATAAATAAATACTTTAATTGTTAATTGATAAAAGTTGATATGTAATTAAAAGAGATTTTATAGTGTATATAGGTACATTATTCTTGATTGGTCTAACATTATCCAGTATATACGGTCCGAGGTGAATATCTCTTTAAATTAATCACACTTATACGCTAACAGTTTGTTGTATGAAATTCTATAAAGTCACGCACAGTTATTCTACTAAATCTAACGAATTGTCGATAAAACGTGTAATGGATCCACATGATAGATTCCTTTAATGTGAACAAGTATAACCTCAATTATTTTATATTTTACTCCTCCTAATCTCACTAACATTGTGAATACAAAGTGAATTAATTTGATAGTTGCTTCTTAGGAGCTAAAAAGGTTGACTAATTGTCATGTAATTTGATGTACAAGTATTTATTAGCATGGAAAAATTTATTTCCTATTTTATGGCAATGTTATCACGCCGTAGGTGTCCTGGCATAGAATAGGCCACTCCTTTCTTTCCTGTGGGTGATAAAAGACGACTGAGGGAAGGCGAGAGACGGGTAGCACCGTCCCTCTTAAAACATTTCTAAAAGCCTAACTGCGGTTGCCAACCCGCCTGCCACGCGTGGCAACTACTGGCAAAATTCCCTTTATGGGAGAATCTTATATTCAGCAATGATTAGTTAAAGATTGAAATAATAACAATAGTCAATACATGACAGTAACGCGAACAAAGTCGCAGGCTAGTCAAGTAAGTCGGATGTAATATAATCTAGATACTCTTTTCTCATAGTTTTAATAAGAAACCTATATACGAGTAAACCTTATTGATTTAAAAAATATTTTTTTAAATCAATTCAAAATAGACAATACGATCACGCGACATAGCCACAAAAAATACAGACAAACTAGCTTTTACACGCGACTTCGGTTGCGTGACTGGGATATGTTTACTGATCGAGATAAAAGTAGCGTATATGCATCCACCCCATATTGAACGTGTATACCAAATTTCACAGTAATCGGTTAAGTCAGAAGTTCTTAAAGTTTTAAAATAACGGAGCACCTCACAAATACTTTTTATTTTATGGAACCCCATATCAAATGATTACTAATCAAAAACAATGTAATTTAATATAATAATAATAAGAACAAAATATTTTATTACAAATAATTTAAAAGTATTTAGTACTTTTTAGGTTCCTTTAACTTTTAATGTGAAGAATGAAATTGTTTTACTGTATAAATAATTTCCCGGAACCCTGATGAGTTTTTTAGAGAACCCCTAAGTTCCGCGAAGCCCACTTTAGGGATCGCTGAATTAAGCTGTTAATGCGCTATAAGGTAACAAACAAACTCATTTTAATGTTTATAATATTAGTAAAGATTGTTAACCTCATCTCTTTGAAAATCGCTTAAAACGCATTTGTTTCTAAAAATTCTTAAAATTAATTATAACTCTTACCTTGGTCTCGCAGCTTGAGTGTACAGACGATCGAGTTCCTGCAGCATACGGAGGGCGTCTGCCATGTCATGAGGACCTTCCTCCCTAGCTTCCACCAGGCAAATCACGGCCAACACCACGGCGATAGCAACAGCGATCCTCTTGTTCATCATTTTGGAGTCTAATGGTTATAAAAAGGTAGAATTAAAAATATATATATATAAATTACCAAATTATCAGATATAATTTTAACTTCAAGATTTTTTTAATTACATTTTGTTTTAGAAAAAAATATTATTTTGATTTAGAAACTAAACTACTGAACCGGTTTTGCTAAAATTTCTATGAAACAGATTTTTTTAGATAAAAAAAGAATTTTCCAAATCCGTTTATAAATGACGATGTTGGACTCGGTCGATCGATCGATATATAACGGTCGACTGTATTTTTTTTTTAATATTTTTACTTTTAACATTAGGAATACGACTGAATTTAGATCCTGCTCCTTTTTCAAATTGATTAAAAAAATAAGAATTAATATTATCATTTCATGCATATCTTTCTTACACATACGCCGAGTTTTCAGAAATTTCTAGACGAAATTGTATTATTTATATTTCTTATATTAAAATAGTTCAATTTTGTAATATTAATTATGATAAAATTTAAGTCTATTTTGTAAAAAAAATATTATAAACGACACTCCAAATGGATAAATATATAGAAATTAACAAATTTTACAATCTCCCACTCTTCAATTAGGTACATAAGATAATTTTGCCAGAGGCGAAATTTTTAAGAATTAAATGTTAAATAATTTTTTTTTATACCACTGAGGTGGCAAACAAGCATACGGCCTACCTGATGGTAAGCGGTTACCGTAGCCTATGAATGCCTGCAATACCAGAGGTATTACGCGTGCGTTGCCGACCCTAAAGAAACATCTTTACCCCCCTTTTGAAGAACCCCATGCTGTAGTCGCTTGGGAAAACCTCGGCAGGGAGCTCATTCCATAACCTGAGTGTTCGTGGGAGAAAACATCTCTGAAACCGCGTTGTACGCGACCATTTAGGCTGTAAGGTATGAGGGTGAACTCCCTGTCGATGGCGAGCCGTACGATGATAGAAAATGGCCGCAGGCATCATTTAATTTTCTCTCATTATCATAAGAATAAGAATAAATTTATTTTATTAAACAAAATTAGCGTATAACTCAATATAGCTATGACCTCACACTAAGCAAAGTCTGTCTCGTAAAAGTTAAAACAAGAAAGACACGTTTCAAAAGTTCAAAAGTAGAAAGAAAATAACAGAAAATGGAGATAATGCATCCCACACAGACGAAGCCGTGGGAAACAGCTAGTTGGTAATAAAAATTAATTATTTCCCACCACTCAGCACTGACCTATACAAACGGGACTGGTCCCTTTGACACGGGTGAGGCCTAAATGAACTAATTAGACGGGAGGACACTTAATTTTCTTCCTATAAACGCTTTTCTACGGAAAATAAAGCATTGTTTTTTTTAAACACTCAACGGTTGAAATAATAAATTGTTTATCCAACTGTCGAGGAAAGAAGTATAATGTTTGTTTTTCGGGTATATTAAAGTATTAGGCATGGGTATATTATCCAATATCGATACCGCACCGATATCTATATATTGGGTTACTTTGAGCATTAATGGTGGAAAAAAACATCGTACCGCCAATGCTGGTCGGATAGCTATATTCATTTCGAACTGTTTGGATAACCGATATTTAAAATATCTGTTTTTAGGCCGATATATGAGTATAGATATTGATTCATATTGCATGCAGGGGCATAATGATTATATACATTTGTATATAAGTGGTATTTGAATTTTAAAAATCCCTTGAGAGAAATTAATAAAATAAATAGAGGTTGTTAGATTATTATTATGATAACGAAGTCATCAAAAGCACACTTTCACAGTTGACGATGGTATACGATTACATACGAAAAATTTAATTAAATTCAGAATTTCTCTTTTAGAAGCCAATACAATACTTGTTGGTACTTTCCTAGGTTTTTTTTTTTTTTATAATGTACAAATAAAATACTTCGCTCACAGTCGCCGACATACCTCTGAAGGAATGATATTTACCCAATAACCACATTATTTGCTGAAGGAAAAAATTAAAAAAATACATTTAGGTATTACAATTGCTTTATTAAATAAAAGGCATGTAGGTCGGACTTGCATTTTTTATCTAATGAGAAAGACAAATTTATTTGTGTATTACCACTTATAGTCCTAACCAATAGCTTTAAAATTTGGTATACACACAGTCTATGAAATAAAATAGGACATAAACTACTTTTCATCCCAATTAGTGAACAAATACCTATTAAACGGACGAAATCACGGGTAAGAACTAGTTAATAATAAGCCCAATAAGATACTTTATATCTACTTCAGCTGAGAAAAGCCGCGGTTTAGAGTTAGTGCATCATAATAACGAGCAATACGCTCCAACGTTTTCACGTATCGAATTACCTATAATGGAGGTATCATGAATAAATAAACGGTTATTATCAGATATTATCATAAATTGGTGGAAGGCGTATTGTCTCCACGACCCCCAGGGGCATCCTTTCATGTGCCTCTACCTCCATCGTATTGAGAAACTAACGTGATGTCTATGAAGGCTGTATATTTAATTGCTCCATTATCGATTGTTATGTAATGCTTAATATAGTATGTCCAAATAATAATTGGAATAAGAGTAGGAAGATGATGATAATGTAGTGATTAATATCACAAATATATAATAAATAATAATAATAAATAAATAATAAATATATAATTTACCATAAGGAAACTTTTTACAAAAGTCGTTTGCTTGCGCACCTCTGTCCCATTCGTGTTTCAACCGTGTAGCAGTTGTGTTTGCATGTCTGTGATTCGGTTTGAAGGGTGGGATATGGCAGTAAATTTACAGGGTACAGAGGAATAACACCTCAAGAATGGCAACGCATGGAGGGTATCATGGGTGTAAGAGTATACTCTGTTATGTCCAATATACTGCTCATGTTAAAGGCAACGGTTACCACTTTCCATCAGGTGGGCCGTCAGCTTGTTTGCCATTCTAAATGCATAAAAAAACTCTGTACGTTAAGTCATATACAATCTGTTTATATAAATATTTCTCATTAAGTGTCACGTTTTTTCATTTATATCAAAAATTTCTAAATCGTTTACATTGTACACGATAATATATATATAACCCAACGCCCCATAGAAAGTGTAACAAGCTAGAAGAAGCTAGCCAAACAAAGGCATGATACCAGTAGTATGATTCCGGGACAAAGGAGTCCACCCCGAAGTTAAGAGTTGAGAAAGCTTGCGTAGCTGTACACGAAGGCCTTCCATGTGGTTTACCAAATGGGTGACACTATTAATAAATTTTCCAAATCAGAATTTAAAAAATTCAAAAGTTGAATTCTGAAAATTGCTAGAATTGGATCCTAATATCCTTAAACCATAGTCAAACGTTGTCTAATCTGATAAAGCAGGTGGGATGTCGCTTGATTACTACAAACTTACAATGTTTAAGGACGCTACAATGATCATAAATGTTCCGTAGATAAAATGCTCTCTAGAGAACGAAGCCTGCTCAGAAAGTCATATTTTTTATGATACTTAGAATGACAAACAAGCTCCTGGTCCATGAGATGAAAAAGAGGTGACCGTCACCTATACACATGTACAGTACCATGGAAACCTGAGAATATATTTTGATGTTTTTGGTACTCCTCATGCATGGTAACCCAGGATAAAAAGGAGGGAATGATAGATCCTGAAAACTATGGTTCCTGAGTGCTATGCCTCCATATCCCGCAATTTTAATTGTAATATCAAACTTTCCAAACCAAAACTCATGTCATGGAATTACAGCTTCTTTACGGCATTATTCATGGTACTATAAAATGCACCACATAATTACTAGTAGTTTAAAAAAGGTACTTTTTTAATAAACATCTGTATACAATACTGGTTGTCGTGGAAACAGTTTCAATTTTGTTCTTAGAATTCCCGAATACAGTTTTACCATTTTACTTAAGTAGTCTCATTTATCAGAATTCATCTTAGTTAAAAGAGGTCTAAGAACATTTACTATAAGAGATACTATCTGTACAATTCGCTTAACAAAAAAATTGCCCATTTTATAAAGGGACAGCGTAGAGAGTGAATACGAGTAAAATTGTATTTTATGTTCTAGTGTTCAAATAAGTAAAATTTCTCTTTTACGTCTAAAAGATGCGCTGAGAAAACGTGTCACTTCCTTGGACTTTTCCGTACAATTATGGTGGTAAACATACTTATATTCTTCTGTTTTCAAATGATTACCATACCTATGGTATTACTCTCGCATAGGGTACGGTTAAAACATATAAACATTCCTTATCTTTACAAGCAGTTACCAAATACTGTAACTCTTGTAGTGTTTTACTCACACACATTACCTGTTGAGATAGGGGGGGGGGGGGCGAGGATTTTTAGTTAGCTCTACTCGGTAACGTCGTCTACCACTCTCATTGTTAGTAATGCGTAAATGCAATAATACAAGTGTATCTATCATCGCTCTTTGGTTTATCAAGGCATGTGTAAAGACATATCTTCTTTGCAAGAATTGTTATCCCTGTTACTGCAAACGTCCACATGCAGCGGTAATACTTCACTTTAACCACCACTTGTATAAGAGTGTCGATATCTAGTATCAAGAGTTTCTAGAACATCTTCGTTATATACTAAGTTTACCGGATTTACCGGCCTTACGTGCCTGACGAAGACCAAAGTAAATGACCATTAGTTTCAAAATAAATAAACAAACATGATTTTCAAAATTCAGATGTTTAGGTGTGATTCAACTGAGTTGCCACATTTTAATCACTATACTATTAGACGGATATTTGCTCATTATTTATGTTTTGTCGTGTATGAAACTTTTTGTCTTTGAAAAAAAATTTTAGAATAGAAAAAAATACATATCAGTAAACTACCAGAAGAAATGTTTTAATAAACCTGTAAACGAGACATCTGAAAATTTATAATTATTATCGTAGTTACTTTGAAAAAGTAATTTTGAACTGAAGTTCTAAATACTTACATTCTTATAAAATATTAAAGCGCAATCAAATCATCATAATATTTACG